CACCCTTTTTATTGAGGTTTCATACAAATCCAGTTTCGCATAACTTTCAACCGTTGAGACTCCTCTGATCCTCATTCATCACCTGCAACAGCTGTCGGTAACCGAGCAACTAACACCCGCTATGCCCAGATACCGTTTCCAACATGTGTGACGGCATTTAGGTCACTGTGGCTCATATCAGACAGGATATGATGGGTTGGGTCCTTGGTGCTCTCTGAGCTTGGTTGTCTTCTTGCAGACATTTCATTACCCAAGTAGGTAACATCATCACTGCCTGCCTGATTGGGATATGATTTCTAACTTCTCAACTCCTACGAGCTATTGGTTCAGGGCACATATTAACCATACACCATGACAAACCACAAAAGCTGGATTCAGACAAGGTGCTAAGCCAAAAACATCCATACTTTGGCTCAGCGCAATATGTAGGAAGTACACCAGGTGGTTGTTATCCAACTTCCAAGCAGCTCTCTCTCTCCCTCTCTCTCTCTTTCCCTCCTTCCTCTTTCTCTGTCTCTGTCTGTCTCTGTCTCTCTTTCTCTTTCTTTCTTTCTTTCTTTCTTTCTTTCTTTCTTTCTTTCTTTCTTTCTTTCTTTCTCTTTCCCTCTCTATTCCCTCTCTGTCTCTCTCTGTCTCTGTCTGTCTCTCTCTTTCTCTCTCTTTCTTTCTTTCTCTCTCTCTCTTTCCCTCCCTCCTCTCTCTCTCTCTCTCTTTCCCTCCCTCCCTCCTTCTCTGTCTCTCTCTTTCCCTCCCCTCTCTCTCATTTCATTCAACAGCCTTCCAATTTCCATTCTTAAAGCTGCCATTCCCAACAGTTTAAAACTAATTTTTAAAGAGGCAAAACCTTGACCTTCCAAATCACATACAAACTACCTTTTATTTCAACTTAAGTTTTATTTTGTATCTGCTAGCTTCGGTGCTTTGTAAGAAATTATAAAGAATTATAGGTCTTTGTGGAACTGAAAGGCAACACAAACAGCTGGGTGGGAACTGACTATAATTTTGGCGGGAAATCATAGGGCTAATCGTTCCTTCTTTCAAAAGCCACAGTGGTGGAGTCAATCTACACCTAAAAGCCCAAATTAAAGGGATATCTGCACGTAGGCAAGGAGTGTAAGTATTAACACCCAGATAAGCAGGGATTCACACCAGACAAATAGGCAGAAAGCAATGCTCTAATCAAGGCGCTCCCAAAGAGAAAACCACAGTCCTACTGGCAGGACAAACTACTCTATGTTAACAGGGAGCTAACCCCACACTCACCAGCAGTGGATGATGTTCCCTAGTAAGGTAACGAAACATCTGCCAGCGAACGACCAAGTTTAGGCAGCATCAAGGATTCCATATGTCTGTGGATATTCTCAGTCTTCCAGGTCATGGCCGTCCCAAAGGGGCTTTTCCAGGAGTTGAAGAAGCTCCTTAGATGAGAAGCAAAACTTCCTCAAAGAAAAAACAAGAAAGCCCAGTTGCCTCCTGGGAAAAGCACCTTTGGGACAACCATGAGAAAAGCGCATGAGAAAAGCACATCTTCCTTCCCCTGTCCTGACCACTTTCTACAGGGGGGCAATCGAAAGCATCCTGTCATACAGCATCACAGTCTGGTTTGGAGGCATCCCTGCTTCAGACAGGAAGGCAGTGCAGAGAGTGGTGAGGACGGCAGAAAAGATCATTGGCTGTTCCCTCCCTCCCTCCCATCCAGGACATAGCGCAGAATCGTTGCTTGAGCAGGGTCCGTAAGATTGTCTGGGACACCACACATCCTCTTCACAACCTGTTTTCCTTGTTCCCTTCTGGGAGGAGGGGGCTTTGTGGTATCCATCACAGAACATCCAGATTCAGCCAGAGTTTCATTCCATACAGAATTAACCTTGTGATCTCTCAAGCTTCCTCTTTCCGTTATATATTCAAGATGGACAGTATTTAATATTTATTTGCTACATATATGTAGGGGTGTGGGTCTATACATATGTTGTTCATAGTATGTTTAGGTGTGGGTCATGTATGTGTTTCACTTTGAGAATGGGCAACTAAATTTCATTTTTGATGTGTGCCGTTGTGCCCACAGTAAAAAAATGACAATAAAGGTTATCTTATCTTATCTTATCTTACCTTACCTTACATTACCTTATCTTACCTTCTCATCTCATCTCATCTTGTCTTATCTTATGATCTGGATGATGGAGCATTTCCATGGACATTTAGCCGTACACTTTGGAATGGATTCCCTTTGAATGGTGCAGGAGGTTGAACGGATTTCTAGAAAGCATTGCAGATTCTAGGAACCATTTGCGTTTCAGTGTGAAATGCAGACAACACAGACACATCCCCAACAGCCTGCGCCTGTCCTCCACAGTGAAGGGACCCAGGCAGAAAAACATCCTGCAGGAAGGACAACTCCTCAACACAGTCCTTGCAGCAGTTCCAAGAAGGCTCCACATCCATTTGCACAACTCAGGTGATTCTGAGGATGCAGATAAACCTCCAAGTGGCCCCAAGGACTCTCTAAAAGGAGGCAAAGGACCAGCTGTCTGCAAGGAGTATAAATCCTGCCCTTTCCCCACAGTCCAGTCAGAGCTGAAGAAGCTCCTTGGAGGAGAAGCGAAACATCTTCAAAAGAAAAACAGGAAAGTCCAGGGGTCTCTTGAAAAAGCAATGTTGGGGCAGCTGTGACCCGGATGACTGAGGACCTCCATGGATGTGATGCTCCCCTTAGGTTTCTCCATCTGTCTTGGACCCGAATCCTTCTCCGGTTTGCAGGTGCTTTTCACCAGGTGCTATAAAGGAAGACCAAGGGGCAAGAGCAGACTCACAGGAGTCCTTGACGTACGACCATAATGGAGCCTTACCCAGCACAGGTCTAAGCTGTGAGTCGTAAATAAGGCCATCCGCCTGACTGACCCAATCTTCTTTTGTCACCACTGTTAAGGAAACTTTTTGTGATTTTGAAGTGGATCAATGGTTCTCTATGCTGTGGGATTTTAAAAAATAAAAATAAAAATCCAGAAGTGAAATGCTTGTTTAGCATACATCGTTCCAACCAACATGCCTCAGAAGCAGGAATTCTTAACGGCTTAAAGAAGGACTACTACGAAGCAGGTGCTCCATCAGCCTAGGAGACAAGCTTCGGAACAGAGAAAGTCGATTTGGGCAAAGAAAAGAAGAATCAGATGTGGCCTAAGAACAGGGTCTCCCAACCTTGGCAAATTTAAGGCTTGTGGACTCCAGCTCCCAGAATTCCTGAGCCAGGGAATTCTGGGAGTTGAAGTCCACAAGCCTTAAATTTGCCAAGCTTGGACACCCCTGCTCTACACAATGAAATGATGATGGGGCCAAATCAAGGTTTATTTAGCCAAATACGGGTTGAGAATGACAGCCGCCTTGGGAATTGCAGAGTGCGGTGCGCAGAGAGCCACCCTAGACAAACCACACACCACAATGAGCATCACGGCCTCCTCAGAAGGCCCGGCCTGCAAAAGAAGCCGTTTCTTCAGAGAATAGGCAATTTAACTCTGAACTGAGGCTGTCCCGGGGCCTCTTCTTCCCCTGAGGCAGAGATTGACCTGCTTGAGGCTGGGATGCACAACAGACCCACAATGGGAGAACACAACTCCTTTCTCCGCTGTGGTGACGGCCAAGATCTCTGATCCGTGGAAGTTCCTTCCTTGGCAAAAGACTTTGGGAAGTTTCCACCCCCTAGTAACACTCGAAAAGGGGCACCTGCACATTTTCTGAAGACAAAGGCCAGGATGACAAAGATGTGAATAGAGGGGAAGACGAAATATTTCAAATGTTTTTATTTCAATATCAACAATATGTACAATATGAACCTATTTCTATAACAAATAACAATAAATATAACCCAAAAACCATAAATAACAAATATAACAATCAAATGAGGGGGCAGGGGGCTAAGGAGCTGGAACTGGGGATGGGTCATTGAACAAAGGGAAGGACCAGGGCTGGTAGGATAGGAAAGAAGAGGAGGGTCAACCTATCCTCCAAAGCACATGAAGGCAGGACAAGGAGCAACGGATGGAAACGAATCAAGGAGAGAAGCAACCTGGAACTAAGGAGAAATTTCCTGACAGTGAGAACAATTAACCTGTGGAACCACCTGCCTCCAGAAGCGGTGAATGCTCCAACACTGGAAGTTTTAAAGAGGAGACTGGACAGCCACTTGTCTGAAATGGTATAGGGCAATGATGGTGAACCTTTTTGAGACCGAGTGCCCCAAAACTACCTCGCCCCTACCCCACCCCACCTCTCCTCCCCACAGGGCCACACACCCCCTCCACAGCCTGCCACAGCAGATTGCCAGGAGGCCCAGCAACATTATGGCAGCCACGCACTCTGTCCGCACCCTGCAGCATCGTCTGTATGCGCTGGGACACGAGGGTGGAGTCTTGTCCCCGCTGCCCGGCTGCCATGTCCTTGGCTGCGCTGCTCCATGCAGACTGCGCCTAGGGTGACTCTCCTCCGGGGTGGCTGCTGGTGAGGAGGGGGTCACGGGGGTGGCAAGGCTGGGGCTAGGTTTGGACTAGATGACCTCCAAGGTCCCTTCTTAGTATTGGAAGGGGAACAATATTGATCAGTGTACTGAGTAGCTTACATGGAGGAAGCGGCTTATTGATGAACGAGAATATTTGCAGCTCAGGATTGGAATGAGGGGTTGTTGTGATTCCTCGCCAGCCAGTGGATCCGGCAGCCGAGTCTGGGGACTCAGGTGAGGAGGAGGAGCCTGGAGTGGCATCTGAGGAAGATACTGAGGAGCACCAAGATTCACAGTTAGACGAGGAGCCCGGCCCCTCTACTCATGCTCGGGCAGAGACACAGCTGTTTTGGGAGCCTGAGTGTCAACGCTGCAAATACTGTATATTCTTGCTTTGACAATATGCAGAACTGTCTGGTATTTTTAGAGTTAATGTACAGCATCAGAGAGAGGAAGGAAACCTTTGACCTTCACACTAATTGGATAACGTGATATATGACAACTCATTTAGGGAGGGAATATGCTGATAATTTAACTGCTCAGAGGAAGGGAACTAAGATCTTAGCATAGACTTTGTTATGCCTGTGCCTACATTTTGAAGCAATAAAAGACTTTTAGGGAAATCAATGCCTGGAAGTTCTTTGAAGTGTTTCATTAGCCGGAACCATAACACTGAGTTGGGCGACGATGAGGAACAGCTGGGGCCAATCCTGGATGTGCAGATGCAGAGAGAGCCGAGGAGAGGAAGACAGAGGAAGGCAATGGGGTGGCTCCATAGGCAAAGTAAAAGTCACTAAGAAGCTACACCCTGGCTGGATTATAGAGGCGTGGGAGGTGCTGGTTGACGAAGGCAACGGTTCACGGTGCGGCTTTTTTTTTGTTGATTTGTTTGCTTCTGAAGTGGTCTGCCTCCAAAGTCTTGGACATTGAGTCAGGTGTGTAAAAATAAAAACGGGTTTGTTTTTCTTGCGTGTCCTTCCTGAGTAAAGCAGTTGAGCAAGGACTCACGTAGGCTGGGACAGAACATTACTGTTGGTACCGCCCTTGCTTGCCTTTGCCACAGTCGTTCTATTTCTTTTTGTAGGTCTTTGTATTTTGTTATTATCTCCAGTTCTTTCCCATCTATTCTGCTGTCTCCAGGCACTGCCACGTCCACTATCCAGACTTTTTTCTCTTTCTTATTGACAATTGTTAAGTCTAGGATGCTAGGTGGCAGGGGAAATATTGAAATATTCCTCTCTTGATCTTAACCTCTTCCAGTCTCTCACCATTGACCTGCAACTGTGTCTTCCATTGTGCCATCGATCTTTGCACAAATTTTCTGATGTTTCAACTGACTCCTGTTATTTCTAGGCACTTGATTATCCAGTCATGTGGCAGAGAGTCGAATGCCTTTTTGTAGTCAATCCATGACACACTCAGGTTTATTTCTTTAGTTAGAGGGCTTCGTTCTTCCTGAGGGAGAGGCGCCCGGTTTCCAAGTGAGAACAGTTGTATATCTCTTCTGGATTCCTCCACTGCCATCTCCCCCTGGTTTGCCTCCACTTTCTGAGTTACTTCCGGCAAGGCTTTGATTCCTTTGCCCTGGGTAAACCTTTGCAGTTCACCCACTTCTGTTTCTGTGAGTACTTTACTTCCTCTTATAAACCTGTGTTGATCTGCTAGTCATTGTTCTATTATTTCTGATTCTGGATGTTGTTCTTTCCAGACCGGGTGCATTTGTTTCTGATATCCTCTTCTTGTTGGACTTGATCTGTGATAACATAACATTCTTTCTTTGTTTTCAATCACTGTGTATTTGCAATAGGTAAACACATTTTCTTCTGCAGCTGCTGGCCCTGGTTGCTCAGCCAAAAGTCCTGAGTTCTGTAGCCCAGAGATCCACAACCACTTGGGCACCAAAGACCAGTTCCGTGGAGAGAAGCTTTTCTGTGGTCTGGTGTTCTGATCTTGCTCCCCAAACACAACAGAAGCACCAAATAGTCTCTAACGTTCCTTTTATTTCAGGAATGTCAGCAGCTTCACACAGCCTTCGAACAACGGAGCTCGCTCCCTTTTCCCCTGTAGGGGTCTCCCAAAACCCAGAGTTACTCTCAGTCTTACCACGCTTACAGCCAAAGGTCCTTCAAGCAAGCTGGCTGTGGTTTCACCTAAGACATCCTAAGATCAGTGGAAAAACTCTGGCAAAATTCCAAGGAGAAGTGTCAGGAGTTCCAAATACAAGTGTCTGACTGGCAGGAAGATGAATAGTTGTCTGCCACACTTATTTGTCTCCACCCCTGCCTTTTATCCACAGCTCAGGGTGGGGTTCTTCTGCCCCGAAGACCACCCCATAGCCTCTCGATGTTCTCCTCTCCTCAGCCTCTGCTGCGCCCGCACATCAATCACTGGCCCCATGTGATCCTCCGCTATTGAATCACTTGTCTCCAGGCATGGACGTCTCAGCGTTTCCATCGGAGGGCTGGCGGACGGCCCAGGCTCCACCTCTGTCCCTGGCTGTGACAGCTCCATTCATTTGTCGGAGCTTTCAGATGACCCTGATGCCTGGCCCGGCACCCACTCCCGTCCTTCCTCACCTGAATCGGCCGCTGAGTCCTCTGGTGGCCGACAGGGCACAACAACCAGAGAGTGTGTGGTTTTGTGTGTTACCTGTATCCCTCAGATGGGGCTTTGCTGGTTTGTGTGGACCGGTTGCTGGCATGCCACATCCCAGTACTGGTCCACGGACCAGCGGTTGGAGACCCCTGCTCTAGCCCATTTTTCACAGATATCCAGGAACTCCAACTTCTAGCGTGGACCATGTTAACCTGGGCGACATCCCAGCTGGTGTGAGTTCCCAAAATTTACGTCTCTCCATATTTTTTTATGGGAGACACACTTTTTGACTCCTCTGATGAGACTGGCCCAGTATGGTTGAACCTCTGGCACAGCTCTCCTCTTTCGCAGAGTACACAAGCCCCACAACCACAACAAGGTATTACTATTATTATTATCGATCATCGCACAGTCAGCCAGATGTTCAGACTGGATGTGGCATTTTGTCTACCTATCGAGTCCTTACCCAGGACCTGGGATAGGCAGTATCATTATTATTATTATTATTATTATTATTATTATTATTATTATTATTATTATTATTATTATTATTGTTATTATTATTGTTATCATTATTATTATTATTGTTGTTGTTGTTGTTGTTGTTATTGTTATTGTTATTGTTATTATTATTATTATTATTATTATTATTATTATTATTTTACTATTAATATTACTATTATTATTATTTGAAATAAAAAATCAAGGTTCTAGGTCAATACCTTAATGCACTGCTCCAAAAGAAGTTGGAACAAAATGCTTTTCTTTTTCATTCCCTTTCTCCTACACTTTTTCGTCTTTTCCCTTTTCTTCCCTTCTTTTCCCATTATTTTCATTTCCTTTGTAGTTCTGCATGTTATATTTCAATAAAGTAATAAAAACCCTTGAAGCATCACATTCATCGTACCGCCCAGAGGTCCATCAGAAGAATACCTAATGTAGAATTGTGTTGGAAACGTACACACAAATTGTGATCTAAATTAGGGCAATGGGATGTGCCAGACGGGAGCAGGAGGAGTCGCCAGTCCACTTAACGGTCAGAGAAAGAGTCTTCGGAAGCAGCCACCATAATAGATCCGTAGTTAAAAGTAACAGGGGGAAGTTTGTACTTTCAGACTTGCAAGATCCTGTTAATATAGTCCTTTTAGCTGAACTTCTGTCTCCTTTATCTTCTATTTGCCTTCAATGGGGAGCATATAAGTGGGGACATACAATTGTCCCCAAGATGGAAGAAAACACTAGCCGGAAGGTTGGACACCATCCCATCAAATCTGCTAGGCCATCCATCAGTGGAGTCCGTGGATTCGCACGGTCTTTAATCCTTCCTCCAGCCTGGGGAGAGGATGCTCCAGACAGCAACAGTCGGAGAAACCAGGTGGGATCCAGGCGCCACGTTCTTTGCTGTCCCAACAGCCCGTATTTTAAGATCAGAAGAGTAGAACAGAGCAAATTCAACCATTATGTGTAATAACTGATGCTAGAATAGAATAGAGATGAAAGGGACCTTAGAGGTCTTCTAGTCCAGTCCTCCTCTCAAGCAGGAGAACCTAGACCATCTCAGACAAGAGACTGTCCAGCCTCCTCTTAAAAAACACCAGTGATGGAGCGCCCACGATTTCTGGAGGCGAGCTGTTCCACTGGTTAGTTGTTTTCACTGTCAGGAAGTTTCTCCTTAATTCCAGGTTGCTTCTCTCCTTGATCAATTTCCATCCATTGTTTCTTGTCCTGCCCTCTGGTGCTTTAGAGAATAATGTGACCCCTCTTCTTTGTGGCAGCCCCTCAAATACCAGAACATTGCTATCATGTCTCCCCTATTTCTCCTTTTCTTTAGACTAGCCAGACCCAAGTCCTGCAGCCGTTCTTTGTATGTTTTAGTTTCCAGGCCTTTGATCATCTTAGTTGCTCTTCTCTGAATTTTTTCCAAACTCTCAACATCTTTTTTGTGATATGGTGACCAAAATTGGCTGCAGTATTCCAGCTGTGGTCTTATTAGAGTTTTATAAAGCGGTACTAATACTTCACGTCTTCTTGATTCTATGCCTTTGTTTATACAACCCAGGATTGTATTAGCTTTTTTGGCTGCTGCTGCACACTGCTGGCTAATAGTCAAGGGATTGTCCACTAGGACTCCAAGGTCCCTCTCACAGTTACTGTTTTTGAGCCAGGTCTCGCCCAATCTGTGCTTATACCTTTGGTTTTTCCTGCCTAAATGTAAAACTTTGCTTTTCTCCACATTAAAACTCATTTTGTTGGATAGGGTCCATTGTTCAAGTTTGTCAAGATCTTTTTTGGATCCTGAGTTTGTCTTCTGGGGTGTTGGCTACTCCTGCCGGTTTGGTGTCACCTGCAAATTTAATGAGTTCCCCTTCAATTCCCTCCTCTAAGTCACTTATGAAGGTATTCAAGAGTCCTGGGCCTAAGACGGAACCTTGTGGTAGCCCACTGCTTACTTCTCTCCACGGGGATGTAGTGCCATTGAGGACTAATCGTTGAGTACGGTTTGCCAGCCAGATACAGATCCATCTGGTGGTGATTTTGTCTACTCCACCTTTTTCTAGCTTGCCAAGGAGTAGGGTGTGGTCTACCTTATCAAATGCCTTACTGAAATCTAAGTATACTGTGTCCACAACATTTCGCTGGTGTACCAGTTTAGTCTCTTTATTGAAGACTGATATAAGATTACTTTCACATGACCTATTTTTAACAAACCCCTGCTGGCTACTGGTTATAACTTTGTTTGCTTCTAGTTGTTTGCAGATCTGTTTTTTTATTATCTTTTTCAGGATCCTCCAAGGTATTTATGTTAGACTGATTGGTCTGTAGTTTCCTGGGTCTGTATTTTTTCCCTTTCTTGAACATAGGAACCACATAACACTTTTCCAATCCTCAGCTACTTCCCTGGTGCTCCAGGATTTGTGAAAATTGTGGTGCAACAGTTCTGAGATAACATCTGTCTGCTCTGGGATGTAATCTATTGGATCCTGGCAGTTTATATTCGTCAAGGTCGGATAGGTGTTCTCTTACCATTTTCTTGCTTATTTTAAGTTTTGTTTCTAGTTTCTCTTTTGCAGTGGTTTTTTTTATATGTTATAGTTTCCTTTATGTGAAGACTGATGCAAACTATGATTTAAGCAGCTCTCCTTTGTCCTTGTTGTCTGTTATTTCCTTGCCATCTTCTCTCTTTAGTGGACCTACAGTTTCCTTGACTTTTTTCTTGTTGTTAATTTATTGGAGGAAACTTTTATTTATTATCCTTGATTTCTGTTGCAATTCTTTGTTCATTCTGAGCCTTTGTTTTCCTAATTTTGCATGTTCTGGCTGTCTGCTGAAAATTGACCTT